CTGCTTGTTTCCATTTAATAATATTACTTTTTGAAGTCGCAAATGTTTTGAAACAATGCATTGATGAACAAGACTGCTGTCTCCATGTGTTTAATGCAATTACTGCCTGCTGGTGAACAAGGGTGTCCTTTGGAAACAGGGAAAGTGAACTGCTCCAGCATGAATTATTAATATCTCAAACAATAGACAAGTGAATTTAGTAACAGAACATGTGTGACTGCCATATACAGACATTCAATTCTTTTATTTTGTTTTACTATTTAAGGATGAGTAAGTAAAATAGTTAACCGTCAATTAAAACATTTTACGAATGAAAAGCAATAGTTAACGCCTAGTATGAAACACGAGCATTAACTACGAGCTCTGGTTTAACATGATCATGTTGCAACCCTGATGAAAAGTGCTCGTTAATTATGTGCTTGATTTGAGGGATGGTTTGCATATAATAAAGGCAGGGCACTACAGTAGTGAGGGTCAGGAAGAATCAAGCTGAAGAGCACATTAAGAAAATGTATCCCAGTGAATTCCCTGAAGTTCACAACTGCCAAGGAAGAGCCATGAATCATCTTTATTGTTCAATATTTTTCATTTATCAAATATATGACCAGCCGTGGTCAGATCTTCAGCGAACTGAAGAGCTCCTTGACTTGTCATTCTGCCTAGACTTCCAAGCTGTGTAATGTTTCTTTTGATATATGTGCCTAAAAGACACTCAAATCTATTAACAGTACTAAAACATAAGCGCTAGAATTAGATATGTATTTAATTGTTCATGGAGCAAAATTCTGCTTGTTGATTTAATGTCTGTTAAAATTCCTGTTCTTTAATTTCACTTTGTAACTTGTTTGAAAATATTCCTAAGGCGTGTTAATAATAGCGCACCCACAGGGTAACCACAGTACAGTCATGATAGATGCAGGAAAAGGCTATAGTTCAGGGAGGGGGCCGGTATTTACCCAGCAGCTGTATCCTTTCTGCTCTGTCCTGTCAATCTGCTGGAATCCGGCCTGTATTGAGGCAGTGGACACAGACACAGCTGTAGCCCTCCTGAGTTTCCAAACACCACATGCCTGAAATGTTTAAAGAGGATTATTGCCATTTTAATGGGTTTCAATGGCTTGTTTAAGTTTCCTTTTTTGTTAATAGGGTATTTTTTGTTGGTTTAACAGGGCCTTTAGGAAATCTCAACTAATTAAGTGCATTTAGAGCGCAAAGCCAAGTGTGCAATAAGGTGCCCATCCCCTGCTCTCTCCTCTGTAGAAATAATTCATGAATTTGAATATTGCTGGCAGCTGGAAAAGCTTATTAATAATAATAACCTTGTACATTTGGCACAGATATTCTTAAAAGGCTTGTAACCCAATGGGAGGTTTATTTTTTCTAAATGTCGATAGTGTGTGATGAGAAAATACTGTATAGACAAGGATATTACTTTGTGATATTACTCCTGAAACCAAAAATTAAGTAATACTTAATAAATCTGAAAGGGGAATGGATCAAAATATTGAAAGGCCGGACCAACTGAAATATTTTGATGCAAACACAACCTGCCTGTAAATACAGAACGCTCCTGGCTGAATTGCCTGTCGGCTGTAGTCAGATCGTCAGCTCTGAGCTCTGCCATTTCAGCACTGGGTTCTCACAGGGCCCAGGAGGCAGCCCTGTCGCCATAGCGACAGTAAGCCAGCCTCCCTCACCTGCCGAAAATAAACCGTTCCATGACTGGCCATTGTAAACAGTAGGGAAACACCCAGCTCAAATGAGGGGGAATATAGATACTGTATATAATTACAGGGCATTATTTTAATTCACACGCATACCCAAACCCAGGCTGTTTTGACCACATATTCTTTGAATTCTTTCATCTAATATGGCCTGATTAGCGAGTTGAAGAATAATTTCAGTGACCCCTCTCCCTGCTTTACGTTGTCAGAAGGCTACAGAAACAAGTTCCCGCTGTGTCACCGGGCCGCTGTGAATGAGCGGAGGTGGTCATGATAGACCTGCTTTGCTTTGTAGAGAGTTTATGTAACGAATTATCGGGAGGACTAATGAAAACCTCTGTAAAGCGCCTGTTGTGTCAGAAATCTGTTGTTGCTTTACTCATCTTGCAGGTGCAATGAGGTGGGAGATTGCTGAGAAGAACAACAGGAAAGTCTGGCTGTGCCATCTTAAAACATATTCTATTAAATCGTATTCTAAATATGGTAGGAATATAATAGGTGTAGACTGTGATTTCTGCAGGAAACTATGCCATATTCTTGCTTCAACCCCTGTGACAGAACCCTAAGCCCTTTAGAATGCTGTTTGATAATGTTTGTAGTCTTCCCATGGAGCAGAGGGCATAAGAAACTGCAATGCATGAAGCATTACTTTTATTTCCTGGGTGATGAGACACAGCTTTTGCTTATTAGACAGTGTCTAAGAACATATAAGGGAATGGCAAGCCTGATCCTGAGGAAAAAGAAAAGGACATTTAGGTTAGAAACCCGTTTAGCCAGTGCTTTAGCAGTTCAGCCATGTTGACTACATTCTAGGCCTTGTTGAAACTTGACTGTGTGTACAATTGTGTCTTGGGTTGCTGCTAAACTAACCCAGATGGTGGTTCTGGCAACCCAGGTGATGGTTACTTCATTTTAATGGTCAGAGGAGAGCATTCCAGCGCAACTGTGACATCCTGGAGGTTTGACATGTCCCCCCCTAACTGAAATAAGGAGCAGTTACGCAAGCTGATAGGAAGCTGAAGCCTCAGCCCGTCTGCTAAGGCAAGCAGAGAAAGACATCAAGCAGCCTGAATACTAAAGTGTGTTATTTTTCCAGTGTGAGTCATGGCTGGGTGATTCATGCCCTCAGCTTCTTGTTGGCACACCAGCACCCCCGTCCAATAGGTGAACTGTGCACTGGCTGAAGCTGAGGGCCCGGAAACAGCCTGGCAGGGCTGGTGGGGCTATTTTGTTCAGATAACGGGCCCTTGGCAGCCCCACTGGAAAATGACAGGCCAATCAAGGACAAGCAAGATTAAAGCTACAGGCAGAACTTGAAACTGCCACACTGCAGACGTGCACGTTGAGCCCACTACAGCGATGATGCTCTCAAATTCCAGGTTCTACCAATGTGCGGCTCCGATTCAAGAATTTTTCATGAACAAAGTAGGCCCCACCAAGTATTTCCTAATGAGCAGATTAATAAGGTCACAGTTTAAAATAACCACTTGAAATGGCAAAATAAATTGTTTTACCTCACTGTAAGGTGTTTACGTTACAACACAAATTATGAATGCCGAAGAATTTCTTCTGGCCCATGGGAACCTACTCAGTCTGCGAGGTTAACCGGAACGCTCCGGAACTTCGTGTCATTGTCTAGGTTCTGGAAGGTTCCGGAAGCATTCCTGCTGAAGAGCAGACATCAGGGCAACTCTTCCAAAGGCTTGAAGGGTTCTAACATTCCAGTAGTTACCAAGACAGCAGCAGGCCATGAGGATGGGAATAAACGCATTTCCAACTGGTTTTTTAGGGGTATCGCCTGTATAATTTTTGCAATGGCTTAGCTGACTTCTTTCTGGCTCTGGCCCTTTCATCTCAGTCCTCTTTCTCTATCCACATTGCATCGAGCCATTCTGTCATAAATAAACTTCATATTCCCTCAAGTGGCAGCAACACGGAACTGCAACCTAACTACAAAAAATGCTCTCCGTGTTCCCACTAAAAAATTAACAATGTACAGCTCTGTAGTGTGCCCTGCTTTTCAAAGTCTAGGGAGCCACACAGAAGAATAAAGGAGAAGCACAGAAAGGGTATGAAGCCTAACAGATCTCAGGCGTTCGTAAGACAAGTAACACTGCCTCCATTGTAGTCAAGTAACTTTTTATATTGTCACATAAGATGTGGCAATACTGCACAAGCTTTGACAAATCTGACATTTGAATGTCAGATGTTTAATTTCTTCCCTTAGCTTACTCGGTATATCAGAACTGACACTGTACTGTATGTATTTTTTCTCCATTATAGTATGTTTCTTAAGAACAGTTACCATGAAATGAGAGGAGGCCATTAGCCCATCTAGCCTGTTTGACAGTTAGTAGCTGATTGATCTGATGGTCTCATCAGTCTCTTTCTGCTTCAGAAACATGGCTGGGTAGCTTGTGCCATGCCCCTGCAACCCTTGGTGTAAAGCAGGGTTTCCTGTTCTCAGTTTCTAATTTGCAAAGTCCCAGAAGTCTCGTAACCTCCGCTGCAATGCATACTTAAAGTCCAGTCCAGTGAGCTCTGCTGCCACACAAACTAAAGGTCATGTAACCTCTGTGGTGACCCCTGCATTAAGGCATGATACAAGGTGTGCATCACGCAAGTCCACATAAATTCTTCTGGTTAGCGTTTCACCACTGAAAACTGAAGACGTCTGCAGGGTTGACTTGTTGTTTTAAATACGTGGATCAGGCCCCCTGGTACTCTTCTCTGAACTACATGGGTTCGGCACTTTTAACCTGTCAGCATTAAACTTTACAGCCAAGCCGATCAACTCCAACAACCCCACCACACCCAAAACAAATTCCCTTCACGATCATCTGAAAGAAGGCAGATCATCTGAGGACCACAGCCATTAAAAGAATCAAATGTTTCTTTAATTCCAACAGCCTGTCTGGGGCTCAGTAGTCTTTTTTTAAGCTACCAAAGGAATGCAGGTGAGAAGAGTGGATGTACCGTAGAGCAGCACCAGGGGGCGAGTCAGCCCAGCCCTGTGGCACTGAGACACGGCCCTTCATTGAGAGCCTTGCACACTCCTGTGCACAAACACTGAGGGGAGTGTAAGGGAGGGAGTGGGGTTCGAATAGCACTGGCCTACCGTGACTTCACAGCTCAACAGAGCCACTCGGTGGTGATCCTCAGCTCTTCAATAAGTAATGAGGCACTTGGACTTGTCCCCCTCCTTCCCTGAGCAAACAGAGCACTGACTACAAGCCTCACCTTGCAATGCAAGGTAAACGATTAACCGCACTAGGTAAGGAGGGTTTAACACTGAAAGGTGGTAGAGAGATCTGCTCCCACAGCAGTGGGAACATTAGTTCCTTTTTGTTTTTGGAATTCTTGGTGCTTCTGGGCAAAGATGTTCATTACAGTGCTACATGGGGGTGAGTACTTCATATTCTGCTCGACATTTAGCCAGTCTTTCACGCCGTCTCTTCGCAACTCGGACGTTAGTGAGGCCATGTACTGTTTTGACACCTTTAGTTGTTCTTTAGGAGATTGATTCACAAATTATTGCTTCCCCATAACAAGTACATTTTATTTTTCTAAAAGGCTACCGCCCACTTTTATAGGGTGGTATTGGCACTGAAAATATTTTGTAAAAAAAAAAGCCTCAGCACTTATTTAATCCACTGAAGTACATGTAGATTTCAGAAAAGGTTTTAGGAAAACTTTTCCAAGAGAAATCTAGGCCGTAATTCTAGAGCTTTGTCCTCTCCTTTGTTGTTTCACAGATAATGAACAGACCCTGTTCAACACGGACTGCAAAACGATCACGCTGTTGGACAGTATAAAGCTACGCTGTCACTGTGCTAGCAAAGGTGAGTCCAGAACAGCTGTGCACTCAGTTTATCAGAATCTCATCCATCCCATCCAATGAATTATTATAAGGGCTCATTTCCTGCAAATTGAATCACAAGATATGGATAAAATTGATTGTTTTATTTTAACCGTCATTTTGTATTCAGTTGTGAAATTTCTCCTTGAGTAAATTCAATAAATCAATAACTAAGACTTTAAGATGATATAAGATACCAGCTATATCACCCTGCAGCTCACAGCTGACAGCCCATAGAAGCTCAGCAGGTGTGAGCCTGGTCAGTAGCTGGATGGGAGACTCCTAGGAAAGCGAAGGTTGCTGCAGGAAGAGGAGTTAATGGGTCCAGTAGGGAGAGCTCATCCTGCAGTCAGATGTCATGTAAAGCTGAGGTCCTAACTCTCAGTGGTCATTAAAAAGTCCAGGGAATTTCTCTGAAAAAGTAGGGATGTTAATGCCAGTGTCCACATTTCTCCCCGGCCTTTACCAGTCATGGACTCCTATCCTAAAACCCCATCTCTGAACTGGCTTCATCACTCTGCTCTCCTCCCCACTGAGAGCTGGTGTGTGGGGAGAGGACTGGTGCATCATCCAGGTGGGGCTGCACACTGGTGGGGGTGGAGGGGATCCCATTACCTGTAAAGAGCTTTGAGTGGAGAGTTCAGAAAAGTACAGTACAGTAAGTGCAAGGATGATTTATTATTGGAAGACGTCTGAGTAGGTAGCTGTGTCAGCATGCACGGGCTGCAAAAGGGTAAAGGTTTATTCCATACTGAAAGGAGACACGCGTCTTTTCTTTTCCTTTCAGCATGGAATAAACCTTTAACAGTTCTTTATTTATTATTATCCACCATGGACCCTACTGAAATTCTAACTGGATAGCTCAATATTATGAATCTGAATAGTAGATAATTTAGCTAGCACTTTTATTATTTAGTATATTCTATAATATACTGAATGAGAGTTTCACACAGAGTAAAGTTAGGGGAGTGATATGCTTCTAAAGGTAAAAATACAATTATGATGAACCTCTCAGATCAACTGCAATAAATGCACGAACATGCATTTCATTGACCTTTATGGTGTAAATGGAAATGCCAAACTATCACACGGATGTTTAGCATGAATATTTGCAGGTTTGCATTAATATCGTGTCTGCAGGAGCTTGAAGCAGAAATAGCAGGATTTCTCCCAGGTATTGATAATGCTTTGTATGTGCTGTGTGTCTAGACGTGAATGAATCACACTGGAAAATCGTGTTGGGAAAAAAAGCAGCCAGAGTGAGGGTATGCATGGTAGAGCTTTAAAAATGGAAAAAGAAAATCATTTGAAATGCAAGTCAGAGTGTTCTGGGCCATGTTGCGGGGATGTTAAAATGTTCTCTCAAATTAGAGAATCAGTTGAAGAGACCTGATAAGTGCAGCACTTCCTCATTCTTATAAAGGGAAAATAATGGATAAGAAGGTGGGGGTGGAGGGTGGAGCCCAAGGCTGAGCTGCCAAGAACATTTAACCAGGTCATCTAGCGTGCATGTCTGGAGGGACTTGACTTATTTAGCTGGTTGTTTCCAGGCTCTCAACGTCCATTACTGAGCATCCACAACTGCAATCACTCAATCCGAAAACCCTTTGCAGACTAGACGTGTCCACTAACCTTTTACCAGTTTCACTACAGGGGTCACCAGTTATCGTTCCATTTGGTATATTTATATTAACTGCTGTACTGTATATACCCGTAGATCACTTCACCGATGTGAGGCCACTGGTTTCTAGTTCCTAGCAGTCATTTCTAAAAGGAAGTGCAAGCATATCGCAGCAGGAGATTCTAGCACGTGCACACACAGCGGATATATTTTAGTGCTCCTCTTGGACAAATGGTCTATACTGCAAGTGTGAGGCTGCACTCTCTTTAAATAAAGAGCCCTGCACAACTGGTGTTTTGATTATGAATTCTGCTTCTTGTGTCCGACAGCTGAGGTAGATCTGGCTGATGAAAGTGGCCAGGTGAGAAACCTTTTACAGCATCGGCAGCGATATGCATCCGAGCTCCTAGATGAGCGAGAGGAGTTTATTCTGGTCAGCGTCAGCTGTAAGTAATAAGCTTCCTCTTACAAGGTTTTTCAGCTGAAAAAAATAAAAAAATTTTAATGAAGTCTGAAACTGAGTGTGGTTACAATATGGAGCATTAGAAAATCCAGACACTTGCAGCAGTAAGGAGTTTTAATGCCAACCTTCTCAGATATTTTGTGCTCTGACTTTACTCATTAAGGCATTTCTTCTGTGCACCTGCAGTTCTGAATTTGTGTGCGTAGCCTTGAATCTGTAAAAACGGTGGCGTTTGAAATAGGACTGCAAAAAATCTGGAATCAATCATTCAATCATCGACCGGATTAAACCGCCTATGCCAATTTGTCAAAATATCGACCTGCAGTCAGCTTCTTGAAAGATTAAAGTCAGCAATATTCATTTGCAGGGCCTTCTGGCTCCCATCAGCCTGTCTACACGCCGATGCTACAGGATGAAGATCTCCTCAGTTCCAGATTTCTTGGTAGGTTTACATACAATTTGGATTATAATGGGAGTTAGATCCAGTTCAAAATGTTGTTCACACAACCCCTTCCTGTTTGTGCAGCTAAACTGGGGAGCAAAGGGGAGCCCAGGACAGGAGGAAACAAAACAAGAATGAAGAGAGCCAGCCAAAAGACAACCTCTTCAGTGTCGTCGTCTCCTGTAGAAAGTAAGGGATCCTGGTAAAACTGTATACCTGTCAGGCCAGACAGAAGCAAACAAACGCAGATACTGTAGTGTAGGCATTACATGGATCCTGTTAGCTTGTGTTATGTTATAAATACCATTATAAACTGCTTATTTAACAATAGGTGCTAAGAAGTTAAAAGATTTAGGCAGCTGAGAGTTGATGGAATATTGCCATGGTCTCACAGTCTGATCAATCTTTAATCATTTATGCCTCCTCACTCTTTTCTGTAACAACTGTGACAAGAGCAACGTTACAGACAGTGTTAGGTCAGTGGGTAACAACTGTTAAATTACATTTTGCATGTGAAACTTTCCACACAAAAATGTATGCGCACTGCAAACTTTCCGTTTTGAATGACTGCAGAAAGGCAGACCCGATTAACCTGACAAAGGATAATTGAGAAAGAAGACAGCAAAACGCGACCAGAAAACGCAAAAATCGTAATATAACTTTTTTTTTAGGTAAGCAGAGTTCATCTCCACAAAGGCTCAAGGCTGCAGGACACCCATCTTTACGAACCAAACATGGAAGAAAAGAGAAACAGAATGAATAGAAAGGGGATTCTGTTTGTGGAGTTAACAGCTCATTAAAGTAAATTAAAGTACTTTAAAGTAATTAAAGTGTGAAGGTCAAATGAAAACTAAATGAAAACTTAAGGAAAAATGAAAATTCTAAGTGCATATAATGTCGTTGTCAGAGTCAATGTAAAAAGCACCAGAGTACAAACTGAAAGTGGTGGTGATCTTTTAGACCACGTCAAGCTGGTTTTCAGATAAGGGGAGAAAATGTTGATGGCTTTGGGTTTCTTAGTAACACAAACAGAAACCAGCAATCCGTATGGTGCCTATTGACACTGTATCAGGTGTAGTTAGCTTTTGTATGCCACTGTAACTGTTTTGATTCATGTTGCTCAGGATTTTGTAGAATGTGTGTTATCTACTGTTGTGTACTGTATTAACAAAACATCAGAGAGGTTATATTTATCCTGTATGTATTGCCATATTCTAATCAAATTAATGCATTGTAAAGTGGGAAACGTCCTGTATCTTAATCCTTGAGGATACAGAATAGCAAATGACATATTGGGAATTTCAGGTTTGCTTTATAATCAAGCATTGTAGTAACTGACTTAAGTTAACATTCAGATGTCTGTGAGATTGTTGCTGTTATACTGCATCAGGATTCACAATCACACACAGCAGAAATGGTACTAATATGTCCGATTTTTTGCAACGTTAGTCTAGTATCTGGAATAAAGGGCATAACAGGAAGATCACTGCATGTGATTTCAGCCATGAAACTGTACAGGCAAACTGCCCCGAAGCAAACAAAAGTCTTGGATTTGTGACAATTTGAGACTGAAATACTGACACCACTGTGAACCTCTGGAACAAATCTGTGTTTCAGCACATTGCTCTCGAAGTGTTTGGGCAATCGAGAGCTAAGGTCACTTAGTGCTTTTGGCATCAAATGGCTGTTTCAGTCTGGTAGCAGGTTCTTCCCTTTGAGTAACACTGTATTCCTGCCACGAGAGTTCGGCTGTCTGCTTGGAGACAAAGAAATAACATGCCCACTCCCCGCAGACTCTGTTTGTGCCCTGTTAGATATTCCAGAGCTCCTGGAAAGTTTCCAGGGCTCTGGAAAGGATTAATAGCACCGGAGAGCTTGCGCTCCACAAGTAGCTTGAAGTGCAGGGGAGTCTGTTCCGTATATAGAAGCAATCTCTTGCAGTGGATAATATAACCTTAAAAAGCCCATAAGCAGAATATTACACATTAAAATGTAGGGCTGTACTGATTGCTGTAGTGTTGTTTCTGAGGTCACGATCAGGAATCCTTGGATCAGCAGCAAATCCTTCGGAGAAAGTGCGAAATCGTGCGATGGCATGCCTCAGTTCTGCTACAGTATATGCCTCTGGTAAATGGCAGTATGATGTACTACACCATAGTTAAGCTGGTACACAGGAATGGTGCAGTAAACACCTGGCATAAAGCAAGACCACAGGAAGAATAGTAATTAACCCAGGCCAACTTACCAAAGGGATTCTTCCGAAGGAAAAACAAGTCCTACCCCCTGCTCGGTCCATGCAGAGGGCTCCTGTGGCAGTCTCACGGGCCCACCCCAGAGAGAGTGACGCACAGTAGGCCTGTGTTTTCTCTCCTTCTGCTTAAAAGGGGATGTTTTCATTTCTACTGCAAGCAGGGATGTGGGCATGCAAGCGCTGACCTGTAAAGCATTTCTTGTTGGCTGACCTGTCTTGACGCGCCTCCCACGGGGGGGGGGAGATGAACCCGTCTAATAAGGATGGTCCTCTTGGTGCCCAGAAACTGTGACCTTGCTATTTAATCGCCCCACACTATAAGAGACATAATGTCACTCTGACACACAGCGCAGTAGTTAAACAGGACCCTCAATGCAGCGCTCTTTGCGAATGCAACACATGACTGGTGTATATTTCAATTTTCCACCAGTTACCAAGGAGAAACAGACTCATCCATATTTTATATTATTTATGCCAACTGAAATCATCAAAGACTGGTCATACTGGTGTTCTTTACACACATGATTTACAGTAAAATAAAAGGAGAAACCATGTTTATTGTTCAGGCCCAGAAATCTGTGCAACTTTCACAGTTAGCGTATTTGAGTCTCTGTTTGCTCTTTGTTGCAGTTTTACATTTATTGGATAAAATGAAAAGTGCTGTTGAAACCACTTTTCCTTTCTAAATCCAACCCACGCACAGTAAGTACATTGAGATTTGAAATGCTCTCCTATGGTGACCTATGCTGTTCAAGCCAAGCTGTTTTACACCAGATAACCTTAATAATAAGAGTAACTATAAATAAAGAATCCATGAAATCAACACAATAATAATAATAATAATAATAAAAAATAATTGCTTACACTTATATAGCGCTTTTCTGGACACTCCACTCAAAGCACTTTACAGGTAATGGAGATCCCCTCCACCACCACCAATGTGCAGCCCCACCTGGATGATGATTGCACACTGCATTTATCATCGCAGCAATAAGCAAAATAGACTCTGATTGAACAGCTGTAGTCCTGCTAATTGTCGTGCGGCTGAGCTCCGATCTCCGCCAGCCTGCTGTGCGCCTCCTCCAGCCGCTGAGACAGGCAGCGCCTCTTCATCTCCAGCACCAGAGCCTCACTCCTAGAGCTGGCCAGCGCCCTGAGCACTTCTTCCATCTCTCCCTGCAAGCGAGCAAAGACACAAGCTGCTGCAGCAAATTACGACACGGACGTTCGTTTAGCATGTAAAAATACCCCAATCCTCTTGAGCGCCCACTCAGTTCCAGGGTAACAAAAGGCAAAACAAGCAAGGAAAAGTTTGTTAGCATTTCACTTTAGCAAGTGTTTTTTTAATTACTAGATGTAGTTAAATTACTGGGCCTTCATTTATCACTATTATTTTCGATCGTGTCTTGGAACTAACTGATGGGAAATGTGGGAAAAAAAATATAACTATTATATGATAATAAATTATAAAGAAATAATATGTAAAACATCATAATAAGCCACACATTAGGGTTAGCTTTCTACTTCAATTCGACATTGAACATTTTTTTTCTCAGTATTTTCAAGCCTCTAAAAGCCTTTTAGTACAACTTATTTGATATCTTCTCCTTTTTTCAGGCCAGTGTAGGAGATGTAGTTCGTATTTTATCCATGAGCCGCAGAATGGAAAACGTTTAGGCATTTAACATGTAAGCAGGCTCCTCTTTGGGCAGCCCCGGCTCCATTACCAGCGCGGGCTCCTCCTGGTCTCGCAGCTGTTCCTCCAGGTGTTTGCTGTGCTCCACTTGTTTCTGGAGCTGAGTGGTGACCTGCAGGAAGAGCTCGTTCAGCCCATCGATCTCGTGCTCGATGCTCTCTGCCTGGAACGCACAGGTTGGAAGATGAGTTTAGACATGGGCTTAGCTCTGTGAAAGCATCTCAGCGTGCATGATCGGCCACTGCTCCTAACACATCAGTGCTGTAGGCCAGTGGTTCTCAAACTGTGGTACGCATACCACTGGTGGTATGCGGAGCATCCCCTGGTGGTATGCCAGATGACCCTGGAAATGTATTGTATGCACTGAAAAATTGGAAATTAAAAATTGAATAATTAAAAATGATGTAATCTGTAATTTACTTAATGGGTTTCAGAAAGCTTATGACAGGTTTTCATATTTTCTATTTTAATAAAATAGTTTATATGTCATATACGCAGCCTACGTACTTAGCTGCGTTGATACAGCGTGCGCTAATACTTGAGTGTTCATACTCCTCTAGAGCTTTCAGAGACACATCTTAGCGTCACATTCACCAGCAGAACAAGTGATCGAAAATCAATACCTCGCAAAAATCAAGTATTATGTCATGGCTGAAAGGAATAGACGCTAAGAGTACTGACGCTAGATCACGCACACCTGTTGAGAACGAGGAGTGTTATACATCAGCCACCGACACTAGCTCTGCTGCTGAACCTGACAGACGGCACTGCTGCTGTTAGCAGCGTCAGAAAATGGCTACAAGGCAGTATGATCCAAATGATCTAAGTACACAGTGCTATTATGTGTGTGTGTGTGCACATGCTCATGTTGGTCATTGAGATTTTCTTTGTTTCCTATGAGAAGATGACATGTAGGTGGTACTTACATCTACATGTCTTTGGTTTGCTTTGGTTTGATCAGGGATGGTACTTGGTCCACAAAATTTGAGAACCACTGCTGTAGGCCAAAGCTAAAGGCATGAGCAAGGAGTATCACCCAAACTTCACAGGTAGCAGCCACTTACCTGCAACACTTTATCCCCCTGTGCTGGTACGGTTTCTGTAGCGATAAAGAAAAGTAAAAAGCCATTATCCATGACAGCAGAGCCTTTTCTTACACTTCCACAGTGGTAGAAGTTAAAACTATACCCACTTTAGAGACGGTCACACAGCAGGGTAAGCAACATTTTACCTTTCTCTGCATCCTGCTTCATGTCTTTTAGGTGCTGATACAGCCTGAAGCACTTGAACCTGTTCAATCTGGGAGGAGTGAAAAACTCATTATTAGTTCAGTATTCGGCGCCGTGTTCAAGCTGGGGGTGAATTTCTCCGGCCGGTCAGGAGCGAAATTTTAAAGGGCTCACCTCTCTGCCAGGCGCTCTTGAGTGAACCGGGCGTCAGGGGGCACCTTCATGGCAAAGAAATCTTCCCTAAATGTGGGAGCTGCCCTGTGCCATTTTTCTCTCGGCTGGAAAGGGATTTTCCACATGAAACGTTAACAGCAGCAAACGCTGCCATGCAGTTGTTGGAACTGGATGTGACTTGGCCAGCCCATGCATGGTGTGGTTGGCTGAGAACCTCATCAAAACATGTTGGTTTTTTTTTTTTAATATTACCTTGTTTCGTTTGGTAGTCTCCTCAGTGATGTTGCAGTGGGAGTAGAAGAGAGCTGTGCTTATTGCAGAGACAGCTTGGTGAAAGGCTCTCATAAACTCTCTTGTTTCTGTGCCTGTTGAGTACAACATCACATTTATCCGTTTACAAATAACAGAGGAAAGCAAGAATTGTGCAATAACCTGCCGCAGCTTAGACAGGCTGCTCTCTTATGAGCACTTAAACTGACAGTCCTTTTATCTTCGGAATGAAAACGGCGAGTCCCGTCGGGGCAAAAAAAAAAAAGGCTTTATTGGATTAAAAAATGTTACCTGAAGCAATGAAAGCCATGGAGTGCAGGAGGATGGCGATGAATTCTCCAGCGCTGTCCAGCTTGGCCTTGCGGAGATACAGGATCTGGTTGGGCCTGTCGTAATAGAAATCTCCGCAGCAGTAACTTTCCGGCCCGGGCCTCTCCCGTGTCCTGCTGGGGACAGCCTGGGCCAGCAGCAGAGTGACCGGCGGGAAGCCGCAGGTGCTGGTCAGCAGGCGCAACGCGTGGCACCCAAACAAGAAGACGGCAAAGTGCCGGGGAGGAAGTTCGCTCACGTCGGCAGGCACCAGGTCGGCCCCTGTAGGCTCCCCGGGCACCTCAGGCACTGGCTGAGCTGGAAAAACTGAAAAAAAATCCCAACAGTGAGACAGCTGTCAAGAAATAATACTAATAATTGCTTACACTTATATACCTCTTTTCTGGACACTCCACTCAAAGCACTTAATGTGATAAGTGGGGGCTCTCCTCCACCACCACCAGTACTCTCCCCACACACCAGCTATCAGTGGGGAGGAGAGCAGAGTGATGAAGCCAGTTCAGGGATGGGGATTATTAGGAGGCCATGATTGGTTATGGCCAGAGGGAAATTTTGGCCAGGACACCAGGGTTACACCCCTACACTTTTCGAGAAACGCCCTGGGATAAACCTTGGTTTGACATCTCATCTGAAGGACAACACCTTTTTTTACAGTATAGTGTCCCGGTCACTATACTGGGGCATTAGGACCCACACAGACCGCAGGGTGAGCGCCCCCTGATGGCCCCACTAACACTTCTTCCAGCAGCACCCTTAGTTTTTCCCAGGAGTCTCCCTTCCAGGTACTAACCAGGCTCACACCTGCTGAGCTTCAGTGGGCTGCCAGATGTGAATTACAGGGTGATATGGCTGCCAGCAATGTAATGTTTTCACCTACTGTGTGCAGTCCGATGCCTTTTCATTTAGACTTTGGGCACCTGCTGCCCAGCCGTGCTGACACTCCGGCTTCTTTCAAGAAAGGGCTCGATGAGATCCCTTTGGGTCAATAACAACCTAATGGGCTAAACAGGCCCGAACAGCCTTCTCTCTTTTGTGACCTGTCTTATGGTTTTAAGCAAAGACTCACTGTTAGAACTGTTTTAGAATCACAGTCTTTACTCCCACCTTCTGGTCATATGAGTCAGTATGAGGCCAGTGTTAGGATTAATCATAAGACTGGTGCTTTTTTTTTTAAACAGGGTGACCGGGATTTAGGTGTAGCTGAGCTCTGCTGACAGGGACTTGTATAGATCACCTGAAAGGGGAGCCTCTTACCCTTCTCCAAACAGGAGCAGCTCTGCAGGGACTCCTGTATCTGCTGCAGGGTCCTGGAGAGGGGGGTCAGGGCCAGCAGGTCACCGAGATCCCTCTCGCTCACACCGGGAGCTGCACTCGGGAGCTGCCCTGCTGCAGAACACAAGGCAGAGAATACCAGGCTTTCCTAAAGCAGCCTGACCTCCACTTTAGAGTGAGATAGGTCGAATGCTGTCAGCTCACCTGAACTGGGGGGAAACGGTTCGGGACCGGGTGTCCTTTTGGGGTCAAAAATGTCTAGAGAGGAATTGTACAGGGACTCCTGGAAAGCCTGTAAAAAAAACAGATGGATTTACAAAGCCTGACCCCAGCGTCTTCTGGTTTCCCTTCCAGCCTGGTGTCTGTTCTTTATCAACGTCTAATTGGATTTAGTTTCCTACCTGAGCCGTGTTTTTCAGTTTGCTGTCAGCTTTTAAAAACGATTAATGAGATGGTGACTGGTATCTACCTCGCACCGATTTGTGTTTCAAATCGTCCCTTATTCCAGTGCGATACCTGTAATGTAGCCTGGACCCTACACAGCAGCTCATTGAGGTAGTGTTTAACAGATTGTCAGCCCTGCTTGCCTCTGTTCAGCATGAATCGTTCACCTGTTAAGAGCTGGTCAGACAGAGGTAAGGGAGTACAGTTATTATAAACAGGCCTAGGAGGGATAGTGTGAAGTTCTTTATGCTCAGGTTATTGGAATAGTAAGGAATAAGTAAAGGTTTCTTCTATGCTGAAAAGAGAAGAAAAGAAAACGTGTCAAAGAAGGCTCACACCCGAAGAAGGTTCCACAAGTGAAATGTTTCTTTTCTGCTCTTTTCAGCATGGAAGAAACCTTTACATGTTCGTTTGCAGCCTACGCTTGTTGACGCAGCTCCCTTCTTGAACTACTGTTACCTTGCAGTTCCTGCTCTCTGCCTGACTTCGCTCCTTGGTCAGGTGCTGCAGGAGGGTGTTCTCACAGTCCACTCTGAAAGCCACGCCCTCCAGAGCCCTCAGCACAGCCTCCATCAGCTGCACAGAGGAATCTGCAGGTGAAAGGCAGGGGTCACTTTGACTGGAATTCCACCCAGAATCAGGCTGTTGCTGGGCATCTGAATTGAACATCTGGAAATTGCTCTACAACAGTCTCCACTTGCATGGCAGATTCAGAATTTGCTGATATTAGATAGTGCTATCAAGTTACATAACTAGTTGCGATAAATGAGAATAGGCTTTTGTAGGAAGATTGACTGAAAACTAGGCCATGTGCTTGAGTCAAGAAGGCTGGGTGAGCATACTGTATGTCCCTGAAAAGCTTCCGTAGGAAGCCACTATGTTGGCTCAAACCTGGACCATGGTGTTGCCTTGAGCCAAGATGGCTGCTAAGTGCACGGTATTAGAAGCAGGTGCTGAATTATACACACCTGGGCATTGTTTGTGAGGCACTCGGAGATGAGTGAATGAAATTCCTCACATGAACCACTGTGATAAGCGCCCTTGGAATTAATTTCCCTACTGGAGATGGGAAAAAATGCTCACAAAAGAGTAGTTTCTTGAGATTCAAACTGAGCTGTGTGGGGTTGGGCAAATGATTGCTGCTTTGTGTCAGGCGTGCCGATAGTTGGTATGGAGAAGTATTCCCTGGCCAAAATGGCCTCAGCCAGGGTTGAGAGGGAGATGTTCTTAGTGGGAGGTAAATTAAGCCGACTAACAGAATGCAGGATCTGGCAGGCTGTGTAATAGTTTGTGAAAATTCATATTGAGAAGCACACAAGGCCTGGATGTCGAATAGTGCAGAGGCATATTTTTTAGCTAGGAGAGAGATTAAAAGACCTGTGTGAGAGTAGAGAGAAATAGTGTGGCAGCACAGGGGAAATTATAACAAGCACTCTGTAGTAGCCACAGCGCCCTCTGTTGAGTAACTCTCTAGGAAGAGAAAGAACAGACAAAGGATATTCTTTCACATAGAATTCAAGAAGGACAGTCTGAACATGGAAAAAGAGCTGTGTGCACAAGGGCTCACCGGGGCAATGGAGAGAAACCACTCGGAAGGAAAAGTTTAAGAAAGGAGACAAACGAAAGGGGACCAGAAAAAGAGCAGTGATCAAAAGAGACTTGATAGTGGCCTGATAGTTGAATCATGCTACCAAAACAAGCAAACAAGGCCATAGGATAATGCTAGAGAGTTGCAGGACCTGAGGTCACACTTGGCTGTGGCCTAGCATGAAAAGATTACATTTTCCTTCAGATATTAAACGAATTCTGTCAAAAACTATCTACTAAATCTACCAGGCTGTGATTGTTACAGCATCATTATGTTAGTACAGTATATTCAAGAAAGCACACATCTGAGTTCAAACTGCAGGGAGATCATACATCTATCCACTCCCTAACCACAGTATGTGTTAAATTAAACCATGCTGTGACAATTCTAGAATAAATCGCGCAACATATGTAGACCTGTTAATGGTTGCCCCTCTGGATCTGTGCTGGAGCGATTAGTTGTCTTCACACCATCTCCAGAAGGTGAGCCAGCACCAAGAGCCTTGCCCAGCTGGGTCAGTTCAGTGGAGCTCAGGTGCTCCACTATTTCCTAAAAACAAGGGGTCCAGACACAAAAGGGATTTAAAATCCTGGAACCTATACCTCCATGCAAATGTATGAAGACTGGATAATGTACATTTTTTAAAAGAGGGCCAGTTCCATTTCCCACCTTTTTACAGCTTTTGCATGAGTTGGATCCATCTACAAATCTGCTAGTAGAAAAATGCTTATTGTGGATCCTGAAAGCACAGGGTACAACAAGGCAGAACTTCACACTAGAGACACAGGGTGCTGATGCACACAGCTAATCTGACTAGCACACCTTTGAGGGGTGGGAGGAAACCAGAGCATCTGGAGGATTCTTATCCTGACATGCAAACTGCACCCAGGTGCCAAGAGCTGGGAGTCGGCAGTATTAACAGCCAGACCATGGAGCTATCCTGGGTTACATCCTATGGCCTTCGATCTGATGGTTGTTGTTTGCAGGCAGCAGATTACCTTTGCGGTGTCGATCTGCTGGCAGATGTTTTTGTAGAATTCTTGCGTGTCTCTGCGGTGCTTGGAGAGCTGGGAGGTCAGGTACAAGGTCTGGTCCTCCAGTTTGTCGTACAGGGTCTTCACGTTGAAATCCTCCAGCTCCCTGGGCCCCTTCCTCACCTCTGCAACAGCAACAGCACACCCTATCAGCCCAGGGACTTTGAAATATGAAACGCCGCTTCATGGAAGCGAAGCTTATACCCATGAGATCTGCAGAGCCTGTGTTCTTAAAAAATGTCATGTCAAGTTTGTTGGCATGAAATAGGAGCAGAAAAACATACAATAAATCTTACTAACTTTTAAAATAACAGACCTGAAAGGTTTATGTCGCTTTTTGTTACTTTTCGTGCTCGATTATTTGAGAAACCCAGGTTTGTTAAAACCTGGGATTACACATGGACAAGCACCAATAGATCTGGAGCCAAAGCCACCATTTAACCGACACCTAATTCAAAAAGCAATGCACGAATTATGGATTTTCAAACTCACCTCCTTTAAAAACCGCTGGTTCCTCAGCCTCTGCTCCTTCTCCCACAACCCTGGTGCCAGGAGTGGTAGGAGACTCCCAGCTAAGGGGAAAACCCACAGTCAACCCTTCAGACAGCCCTCAGCAGACACACACATGGGATAGAAAGTAGGCTGGGAACAGGACAACTAAAGTAAACTTCACTAGAATTAACACCCAAGAATTAAGTGTGAACTGTATGGTTTATGGTGTTGTAGTCTTCTCACAAGACAAGGAGTCTGAGACCCCCCTGCAGGGTGAGGAGTGACCAAGGGGCAGCTGCAGCAGTGGAGATTAAGTGGAGGAGGGATAAGATAAGATCACTTTATTGGCCATATACACTTTCTTGTATTAGGAATTTGTCTTTTCGTATACCCCAGCTTGCTCTCCATGAGACACACAGACATGGAGAGAAGCTGGGGGTCAGAGTGCAGGGTCAGCCATTTATACGGCGCCCCTGGAACAGTTGGGGTTAAGGGCCTTGCTCAGGGGCCCAGGGGAGTAGGATTCCTCTGCCGGCCGTGGGATACGAACCGGTAACCTTCCAGCCCCAGAGCCACCGCACCGTTGCAGAAAGACGTATGCGAGGGAGAGAAGGGGATCATGTGCAGGATTTATAACGTTTAGGTGAAGAAAGACGTCAGGAGTGATTACGAATTACTACAACTGAGTCTGATTGAACATTATCCCTCCCAGACATCTGTTAAAAACTCCCAATTACAGAAATGAAATTGAAGGTTTGGGTTCTAAAAAATCTAGGAAGTTAACGGGCTCAGCATGAAAACCAAAGAAAATGAACAGGTTATTTTCACAGCACAGACCTGAAGAGTTCCTGAGAAACCTGGCCTTTTTACGACACAAACGCAAAAATAACAGACGGCTTAGAGAAAAAAATCTGGGGCCATGTGAGACTCCGGTGGCTGACAGAGTGGTTTAAGAGGTTCAAAGCCCTGTAGGCACTACCTTCCCCCACTGCAGATATAGCCAGCAGGAATGCTGGGCTCTCCCAGGCTGCGCCATTTGGGTCTGTACTTCCTCAGCGGGTTCAGGTGGGTGTGAGCCGGCTTCAGAACCAGGGCAGACGTGGTCAGCACAACTACCACCAGGGCCAGGAATCCGAGAACACCTGCGAAAAATGGATTCATTTGAACCCTAAATCCATAGGAGAGTGGCTCCTGATCCGTTTAATGAATTCCACAGGACCATTTTGCCTGCTTTTTAAGCACCAGGTTAGCACCAGTCAGAGGCTCTATGTGTATGGGTTAGGCCACATTTAGATCAGTTTGTCCCTCGTTTATCAGGTTTTAGATTTATGATCATAGTATTAACAGAAATAGTTCATACTACTGTTTAGGATTTCCATGTTTTGTGTTGTACTGTGTGATTATCTGTATTATACAGTGCCTTAAGAAAGGAAACAAATGAGAGGATGGTATTCAGCCCATCTAGCCCAGAGATCTGCTATTTCTTGAAAGAAGCCAAAGTATTGGCTTCAACCACATTGCTGGGCAGCCTGTTCCACATTCCCACAAACCTTTGCGTAAAGAAGCACTTCCCGTTTTCAGTTTCAAATTCTGGGTCAGTATTTTATGTTTCACAGGTGCAAGACGCTCCTGGGACGAAGTTTCTGTGATGGATGGAGTCAACCGCGCTGGCCAGCCGGTTGACCAACGGCCGCCGGCGGGCCCTACCTGCGATGGCGCTCCAGTCCGGCTGCAGGTTGAGCCGGTGCCGCTTGAGAACGCCGTGCCTGACGAGCTGCACCGGGGAGGAGGGCTGGAACGCCGCGGCCCTGGGGTGGCACTCCGCCCCGCGCTCGGTCACCACCACCACGAGGCTGCGCTCCGGCACCGCGTTGTCCAGGAACACGTACCTCCCGGCCTCCGAGAACACGTGGGCAAACCTGCACGGGGAAAACCCAGAGCTTGCAGACGCGTCTGCCCCCACGGCTCATTTAAGAACCTTTCGAAAGTGAGAGAATCTTGCAAAACTGCCTGTAGTTCAGATTTAATTGTAACTTTCCATAGTCCTATCCCAAGTGCCTTGACCCTCTTCTTCAAGCCAGTACAGTACAAACGAAACCCTTACCTGGAGGAATTTAACTGCGTTTCCTTAATCAGGTGCTCGAGCCGTCGAAAAGCACCAAAGTCCCAGCTAGGATTGCTGCTGAAGAGATGATCTTTCTGGTACACGGGAAAGTGGCTCAGACTACGGTCTTCGGGAAACAAAAAGATAAAATAATCGGTGACAAAGACATAATGATCCACGGCATTACAAGAATCGTACAGTATAAATGGATTGTGGCTTTTTTTGTACTGCTAAAGGTCCAACACATGTAATTCCATTATTTTTCCCCGTGATGAACACGCAGTTTGAAGGCCTGCTGCGATCACCTTTGTGCCATGTTAGAAAACACCATGTAAAATTCCTGTGTCGCTGTCTTAGTCAAGGGCTGTCTTGATAGTAAGTGGGTGAAGGCCTTAACAACAGAACAGGATAAACTGCAGGACGAGCTGAGAGAAGGACTCACTGCTGTGGCTGATGGTGCACTGAAAGAGCAGCATGTCATCCGGTTGGATGCAGGCGATGGGGTTGGGAATGCGGGATAGGGAGGTTCTATTTGTCTCCATGTCTCCACTAGAAGCTCTTTTCTTCCTGAATCTACTGTCAGCGGAGACTTCGCTTGCCCGACCCAGTCCTGCAAATAATGTACAGAACAGTACAACCAAATGGATTCTAGATTTATATAGATCAATAGTACTGTAGGCCAAGTTAGTCTGGAGAAACAATTAATTAGTTTTGTTATTTTGAGAGACCAGGAACAAAGCACCACAAACAACAGTCTCTGCTGCGGATCCTACTGTCTTGCAGGGAGAGGACTCCATATGAACTGTATAGTGTCCCTCTTGTACATAAGAAGGATTTTTCCCTGTTTTTCTGGTCTCTAATTTAGCTCCTGCAAATCTTCCCAATTAGACTATATTTCAATTGTTTAAATAAGAAAAAGGGTACTTTAGCAAATTAACTGCTTTATTTTTATTATTTTTAAGAGTCTTTAACGTTACTGGTACTTGCTAAATTATGTTTCATATTTTAAAAGGGGGGAACACTGTGAACAGCACCTACTTTTAGATTTAAATTTAAAAGAATTTAAGAAGTCTACCGTATATATAAGTTAAAGCACAATTAAAAAAACAACCTGAAAGAAATGTGTCTACGAGGCTCCTGTCTGTCAAGATCCATCCGAAAACGCCTTCAGGGCCGAACTGAACAAGGTGGACATTGTCACTGGCCTGGACTTGGACATCAGGGCTCAGGACATCCCCCACAGGCTGGAGAAAAACAAAAGTCTGAATAAATTCCTGGAAGTCCTTGTATGACTGATTCCACACACTAAGTTTCACTTAATTTTCAATATTCAGGATATTAACAGTACAGTACGCTTTCCCCAGATCAGTTTCTCATTGTCAATATGTCTGTATGCCTGGGCTGAGTTCCATCTCCCTGTTTGAAACTCACTCTGCTCCAGGCGTTTCTCGTCTCCTTGTCTCTAATGTTCAGGACCAGCTGGCCATCAGATCCAAAACTGGCAGAAATTCGGGGCACTCTGGACAGACAGGAGGCGTCGCAAAGCTCTTCAGCAGAGACATACTGCTTACAATGGCAGCTGGGGAATCAAAAACAATCTTATTCACCCGTCCTACAGCCGCCGAGAGAACACGCTTCCATTTCATTTCATTGACCTCTATGACAATATTACTGAATCTTTAACCATACACACGGGACCAAGCGTAAGCATTTTTTCTGCGTGTGAAGATGGAGCCTGACACACCTCTTCTGTCTATGGTGTTTTACAGGCTCAGTGAGCTCTACAGAGACACCAGTTCACAGCAAACGGCACGAAGTCACGATATCTGAAATATGTCTTGATCAACAGGTTAACATGCAATATCTGCATTTGATTTAAACTTATATTTCTGTAATACATAGTAGAAGTCTGGGGGTTGTCTGGGTGATTAGGATTTTAGGCCTCTGAAAGACCTTGTCTGTAAATAATACAGTATATACATAGAGTAACAGTTTTGTTGTGTGTAGTTTTATTTACTGACTAAACTGCTTGGTCAATTCCTGATTTACACCATTTTTGTAACCCTCCCATTTGTAGCAATATTCTTACTGTAGTGGTGGATAATGTACAGTAATAGGTTGCCAGCATGTACAGTAATGGAGTCAATAATGGACAAACCAGTTATTGAGATTGGCTATTTGGATGTGGATGAATCCTGTTTCACCATGTGCAAAGTATGCGTGTACATTATACTGAGAAACGGTAAGAATGCTTTGAAGCATTTTGGGGACCAGTAGCATTTTTATTGCTTTTATAATACCTCTCTGCATATGTGAAAGAGATAGTGGACTTCTTGACATCTTGAAGTTCGGGGGCTCCTTCATGGTCATAGTGCACCTAATGTTGCCCTCCTCCACTGCCAGGCCCTTGCCCTCTGACTTGGGTCAAGAGGGTCTTCTCTAGAAGCGATTCCTAGGGTACTCGTTCATCCCACTCCGGATCACCCCAATCCCCTCTGGCCCCTTGTTTTGTTTGGGTCCTGGCGGCCCTGGACTCACACTCCGAGCTCCGCGCTGAGGCTGCCCCCAGCGGCCCCGCAGGCGGCGGCACAGGGGTACTCCGCGGGGGAGACGCACTGGCGGGACGCGGCCAGACGCACCTGCCCTGCCCTGCAGCGCTCGCTCACCTGGGGCAGAGGTGGAGAAAAGCCTCGTGTCACTCACTCTAGTGCGGCTGGTTTCCTCTGCATGCACAACACTATTCAACAACAGTACCGGCACCTGCTCTACAAAAATAAATCATACAGTATGTGGTCTTAAAAGAAAAGCAAGCCCTAAATAATAAAGCTGAAGGGTCTCTCTTTTTCGGTCATTCGGACTTTAGCAGACAAATGTTTCTGCTCTGGTTTTGCGTCATGTCTGCATTGTGCTTTGAGAGATTCAAAGTGTTCACTCAATCGTGGCATTGAGTGTAATTATTCCATGAAGGGGATTTTGCTTTTTCCCGTTTGAAAAATGCAGAGCAATGAAACAAGGGAACATGATAGCATGATGGTACAGGAAGCCTGGTGAGTAATAATCCTAACTACTCAAACCAGCTGAGCAGATTCGAGTCATTTACTGGCGCGCTGGCCTTGCTCCTGACCTCCGGCTGGCAGTCCAGATCGCTGTCACTGAAGGAGCTCTTCTGGTCCAGCTCGTTGTAGAAGACGAAGCCCGTTCTGCACACGCAGGTGCCGTCGGACTGCTGAAAGGCCCGGTTCAGGCCCAGGCAGGTACAGGAGGCTGCCCCTGAGGAATGAGCGCAGAGTTCAGGCTTTTGGATCTTTCAGGGAGGTGCTGAGCAAACAACTCTTCAGTGAAGCAACCGAGAGCTTCCCTGTGAGCATCCCTTTGAGCCTCTTGCATAGTCCTGTCAAATCTGTGGTCATATTTACTGTGGTGATCATAATAGGAACTATTACTTTAACTTTAAAAGTACTGCACCTAAATAATGGAGTAAAAGCCTTCCATTTAAAGCATGTCATTCACCATGAATGCAAACGATACCAGTCTGTGCAGTAGTTAAAGTAAATCAGGTATATAAAAAAGGAGCTTCGCTGGTGTTCTTATACTTGTGCTTATCTAGGAGGAAACCATAATGATCATTTTAAAATACATGCGTAGCTTTCACCCTGTGTTGGTTTGCAGCTGTGCTTTGTATCATACAGGGTTGCACAGCTCCCTCCTGCAGAAGAGGGACTACGCCCCACCCCAGAAAGCAGTGTTATCACCTGCGAGTGAGAAGGACGAGCTGCCACAGGGGAAACAGGCCTTCTGGGCAAACAGGTGATTGAAGGTGCCTGGGGGGCAAGGGTTGCACTCCCCACGATGCTTTGCTCGGGTGATGCTGCCATAGGAACCGGGAGGGCAGGGCACCGGCAAAGCAGACCCCAGGGGACAGTAGTGCCCAACAGGACAAGGGTTACTGAGGTACAGCTCGGTCCCTGAAAGACACGTTCAATTGTATAAAACTTCAGCTTTACCTTTTCTTTACTTTGAAAATCATTTGTGTTAAACAAGTCAGATAAATGGTATTTAGTTTCCGTCACATTCATCATTTCAATACCTTCCATCGGGAGTGGCTAACTCTGGCTCTGGAGAGCCCCAGTCCTGTGGGTGTCATGGGTCAACCTTTAAATCATACATTTCTGAACACTTCCAATCAATTTCATTTTGACAACGCTGGTAGATGATGTGTTCAGTCATGTAGTTCAGATATCATTTGTCTTTTATTGGATTATTTAAAACAAACAATTTATTGGCAAGCTACATCCCCGCCTGACACTGAATAAAGTAAACTTTAACTTAGCTAAATAATTTGAAATAAACTTAAAATTTAAACCAAATTTTTTCACACAAATTTGACTCTGCTGACAATTAATAAAAACACTGTCTTGTTTGCCTGATTCATGTTCCTTTTTCGCAGTGGTTAGCATTGCTGCCTTTCAGCGCTGGGGCCCTGGGTTCAATACCAGGGCTACACTGTCTGTGTGGAGTTTGTATGTTCTCCCTGCGTTTGTGTGCGTTTCCTCTGGGTGCTGCGGTTTCCTCCTATAGTCCAAAAACATGCTGGCAGGTTACTTGGCTTCTGGGAAGATTGGCCCTGGTGTGTCCTGGGATGGACTGCTGTCCTGTCCAGGGTGTCCCCTGCCTTGCGCCCTGCATTGCTGGGATAGACTCTGGCTCCCCCACAACAATGAATTGGAATAGGTATTGAGGAGATGGATGGAAGTTCCTTGTAAACCTCCGTGCCCAGCAAAATCAATGTGCTTAAGTGCGACCGACACGTGAGCGCTCCCTGTTGAGTCCGGCCATGTGGCGAGGGCACTGCTGGAGCCTCACCTGCGGGACAGTGGTACCCAGAGGGGCAGGGCAAGCAGGCCAGCTGGGAGGCCACACTGGGGCGGTACGTCCCGGCCTCGCACGGCCTGCAGCTCTTGTCCCGCGAGTCTCTGGGACCGCTGACGTTGACCGGCATGAATCCGCCATCGCAGGACAGCGGTGCAGAGCTGTTTGCAGGGCAGTAGTAAGGAAATAAGCACCTGCAGGATGGGAGAGAGGTCAGAAAGGGCTCTCTGCGCTGTGTCACGAGACATACATACATACAGTGGGCTTGTTACCGAATTCTTCATGCAGACAAATTCACACTAATTCCATTGAACACTGGCTATGTAACAGTGCAGAACACAGACAATTAGAAAATTGTGATCGCTATTTAATTTAGAGCACTTTACAAGTGCATTTTTATGGCTATAGTATAGCGTTTCATTTTCTCAACCTTTTCGATGGTTCCACTTAGATATCTTTAATTCTTCAAAATGGTTTGTATAAACTTCGGGGCTCTTTAAAATAGCCAGAAGAATAACGATTGAGAAAATTAAAACACCCTAATTAAAGACGAACACATTATCTAATGTCTTGTCATTCTGACTCGGCAGAAAGTGCCGTGTGACAGGTCTTGGACTAATCGTTCTGGGTTGTAGTCAACAATTTAAAACCAATTCTTTTTTAAAGAAATCTTCGGGTCCAGCTCATCTGAACGGATATCGTGGACGCTCTGCTTTGGCGAAACGCAGAGTGCCGGAGGCGAGAGTCAGGGAGAGCGTGTGGACTGGTACAGCCTGTGGATAAAACAGACGTACTGCTGATGTGGTGTGTCGTACGTCTCTGATCCTTCGGCACAGAAGTAGCCCCCTGGGCAGCTGGCAGGAAGTCCCGTCTGGGGTCTGCAGTATGACCCCGCCCTGCATGGAGTCTCCATCATGGAGCCTAGACAGCAAGAGCATGGACTGACTCTGATGACGCACAAGTGAACTCCTCAGTTCTCACTGCTCAGCGTTACAACACTTTAGTTCAGCCGTGAGGTCACTAACTGGGCTGCTGACTCAGTGTTTGACCAGGGTGAGATTCTGCCTGGACACTTTGCTCTCGGAAATCCAGCTTATCTGAAACGTGTCAAGTTCCGCTCAACTGTTTGGCGGTGTTGATGTTGCATTTTTTACAGTGTATCCTGTAATATTTTTTTAACTTTCTGTTTGAAGCCCTTGTGCTTGGAATCCTTTGATATTAGCATGCCAAACCTCTTAACTGCACAGCGTTCATGTATTTTGTGTTTGCTGAAAGAAAAAGGCATTCTTTGTATTTCATCTTTCATGCAACTTTCCTTGTCATCTTGAACTCCTCTGGACTTGCTTCTTCATGAGAACCTCAAACCAATAAAAAAGTAAAGTTGATAAAGATGTTGTGGCTACTTTTAAACAGAACACTAATCTAAGACGGAAGAGTTATCTTAAAACAAATGGGTAAGTGAGATTTAAAATAGCCAGCTTTCACAATTTGTCAAAAAATGAATTTGAGTGTCAAGATCATTGCCATTCAAGGTCACGAACAGCCCAACTGGTGGTCATGATCATTATTTTTGAAGGACATGATCAGTTTTATCAGAGGTCACAATCGATGTCTTTGAAGGTCATCAGCATCACTAAAGGAAGGAGTGAGATGCCTGTGGAGGGAGTGTACCTGGTGGACACTGGTAGGCAGGGCGGCAGGGTGTGCCATAGATATTGGGCCGTCCTGTCTGGCCGGGGTCAGGGCAGTAAGTACCAGCCCGGCAGGGTTCACACTGGCTGGGAGAGGCTCCGCCGGGCTGAGGTCTCATGGTGCCAGCAGGGCAAGGAACAGGAGAGCCCGTCCCACTGCACCAGAACCCTGGGGGGCAAGGACGTCCCGCGTAGTCTGTCAGACCTGGGGGAAAGGAGACACTTCAGCTGTCGTAGTTCAGGTGGTGTCACGGATGTCAGAAGGGACGAACCGTGGAATGGCAGGAGAGCGTAAAAGACCCTCTGCTTAGCAGCGAGACAGGGGTTAGCCCGGGCTCAGCTGTTCAGGAAATGCCGTATAGAAACCTATCCCCTCAGGCAGGAGATGTGGGGCCACCTGGTGCTAGACGGGTTTCAGGACATCCGAACGTCAATGCTGAGCCAAGGCAAATGAAAGACCCAGAAATATATAACCCCAGAGAGAGGGAGAGAGACACCGGAAGGACAGCAAAGCACCGGAAACAAGAGACAGGACAGAGAAGGAGCGCCCTCTGGCTGCAGAGGGTGTGACAGGTGGGTAGCTGCGTCAGGATGCGTAGGCTGCAAAGGAACAAGTAGAGATTTATTCCACGCTAATAAGAGAAGAAAAGAAACATTTCGGCTGTGGAGCCTTCTTCATGTGTGGAACTCCCAGAGTAATTCCAGGAGATCCAGGTGCGGCACCCGAAAAAGGCTCCATGGACAAAACCTTGTTTCTTTTCTTCTCTTTTCAGCGTGGAATAAACCTTTACTTGTTCCTCTACAGCCGTTGTGAGCAAAGCAATGCATGAGAAAGGACACTGCTGCGTAACCCAGGCATAAGGCACTGAAAATGCATGCGACTGACATTGCATTAAACTGGACCTGCCTTGGATTTGTGTACTCCACTGTCTCCACAACTTCATCTTATTAAAATAAATTCTTTCCATTTTAAGATCATTTCTGTGTAAGATGCTGCGGAACGGCGGTGATGACACTGGACTGGAGAGATCGCACATGTACGGTACAGTATGCACATGAAGCCCTCCAGGATGCCTGCAGGCCTGACCTGTGGAGTCGCAGTGGTAGCCTGCAGGACAGGGCTGGCACTCCCCCCTGCTGCCCGCTCCAGGGGCAGCTCTGTAGGTGTGGAGAGGACACTCTCTGGGTCCTGCTGCTCCCTCAGTGCTGTTGCCGGTCAGCTCATCACAGTAGTGACCAGGAGGACACAGGTAGTGAGTTGGGTCCCCTACAGAGCCAGAAAGAAACACCCCCGTGTCTCACATGAGGTGGGATTGGTCACGCGATTAACCCTAGCGGGATCTATAACTCTGTCAAATGCTCTGGTAAAGGGGCTCTCAAAAGCTGAAAAAATAACTTACAGAGAAGTCATGATTCCTGCATGTTTTGTTTATTTAAAAAAAAAAACAGAAAATCATGTGAGGCAATGGTCCCCCGATGACGGCTTGCTTTGTGAAACATTGGCTTTGAGAGCTGTCTTAGTTTTCGGAGCACTAAGACTCAGACCTGTGAAGCGGGAGGAGAGGGAGGGTGTGAGCGCTTTACCTTCTTTGCACCAGTGTTTTGCTGGGCAGGGCACGCAGTCCTCTCTCCTGCTGGCCCCTGGGGAGGCTCTGATAGTGTGGGAGGGACAGGCCTGGGGCTGCTCGGAGCCCTCTGGACAATAGAACCCTATGGAAAACAGTAACACTTGGCTTTTACTGTAGCTCAGAATTTTGTATTAGAAAACAGTATAAAACAGTGATCTCCAGCCCTCATTCTGGAGGGCAGGTACATCTACAGGTTTTCAGTAAATGTGGGCTCCTAACATGAATCAGCTCATTACTGTCTTAATGTGGACCTAGTGAACAGCTCCTCAGGTGCTGGTGCTTTAAAGAGACACTGCAGACACACTGGGCTTCCAGGATCAGGACTGGGAGCCCCTGATATAAGATGCAATGTGAATAAATGGGTACTCCTGAATGAGTGATGGGCTCTTCCCACAGACGGTTGGGATCTTGTTGGTAACGAGCAGAAATGCTTCATTAAGGTCAAGGCGGTGATGGGATGTACCTTCAGGAAGACACCTTGAGGCGCAAAAGTCGGGAAAGACCATACGAAACCAAAGAAGTTGTCCCTTTTAAGCAGCTGATGCAAAGAAAGAGCTCAGCCTCCTTCTTCTGCTAAAGTGAGTTACCTGCCGGGCAAGGGCTGGCACAGCTCTCTCCCCCCTCGCACCCGCTCCAGTCCTGCAGCACCGGGCCCTGCGGAGTGAACTCGGAGCTGCCCGACACACACAGGAACCCCGCCGCGCAGCGCCCCTGGATCCTGCCTCCCCTGGGCAGCCAGCGAACAACAGCAGCTTCAGGGGAACTTCATCGTCAACACTAACTCTCAGGTCGCGCCACTCATCCTCATTCATTCCAGGAGGCTGCATGCAACAGCCAGACAAAGCTGCGATCATGGCAAATACAGTCACACCACTGACTTTCACTTTGTGCATTACTGGCTATCCTGGAATGGAGGAGAGGACAGGGATATGAGGATACGGAGCACAAAGGAAAGATAACGTGAAGACGGGCAAGAGAAGTTAAGAATTGGGTTTTCGAAGAAATGGGAATCTAGGTAATTGAATTTACAGGAATTGTGTGTTTAACGACTACGCCCCTGCGTATAACAGGGATCTCAGCCGCCTGGGCTGAAGGAGGTCTCCTTTAGCTCAGCCGTCAAGTTCCCTGTTGCGTGACGCCAGAGACCTGGGTTCTCGAACAGGCAGTGAGGGAAGAACTGGCAGGGCAGGAGCAGCAAGGGTGGAAACCCCAAGAACCGTTACACCAGTGGCCCTAACGGGGATGGCCCTTCGCCGATAATGGCGAATTAAGCAGGGGGAGAATATAACGAATACGCCCCTGCATATAACAGGGATCTCAGCCACCCGAGCTGAGGGAGGTCTCCTTAAGCTCAGCTGGCAAGTTCCCTGTTGTGTGATGCCAGAGACCCAGGCAGTGAGGGGCAAACTGGCAGGACAGGAACGGCAAGGGCAGAAACCCCTAGAACCGTTACACGTGGAAGGCAGAAATTTATCATGATTCACTCATCTATGAACGGAAAGATTTAGGGACAAATGAGTTGGTCATCGGGCTGGACAGATCCCACAGATATGCAGTTACAGAATCAATCTGTTTTTTGGCCACAATGCCCATTTCCTGCAGTAACAGGATGCAGTTTCTTACTGATCCAGTTGTTACACAGACCTCTGGGACCTCACGAAATGAGGTGAGGGGTACCTGCAGAACCTCCCTGGGGGGCAGGGCAGGCACTCCTGCTCCTCCTGCAGCCCCCCCTGCTCTGGGGGGGTGAATGTCCCACGGGGGCAGAGCTGAGGAACCTGGGTGGCTGCAAGCACAAGCACAAGGCACTCGAGTACATAAAGATAGCAGAGCTACGAAACCAACCTGCAACACAGCTGTTGTACTGTATCCACAGTATGTGTGTGCATGTTCTACCATTTTTGTAATATTCTAATCCTGTCTTTTTACGGTTTTAAAGTAAAGTAAAAGAAAAGCGGAACTAGGGGAATGCTGTAGAGCTGAATTCCCAATATACATCGAAAGAAAGGAGCGAACTGTAAAGAAAATGGCACTTTTAAAAGCTATGATCGTCTCCAAACTCAACTGAGATGAAATGAGTGAGTGGCGGAGATGCCTGCTGCAGAGGTATGAGTAAGTCTACACTGTACCAGCGGGACAGTACGAGTGTGGCGGGCAGGAATGGGGGTCTCCAGTGACAGCCTCTTCACAGTAGAAGCCAGGCCGGCAGGGTACACAGTAGTCTGAGCCAGGGTTAGGCTGGTACTCTCCTGTGGGGCAGGGGACTGCGTGAGCTGAGCCGGGGGGGCAGTAGTGACCCTGAGGAAACAGATGCTCAACAGTGATCATCAATGTCAGGATTATAACCTAATTGAAAAAAGTGCCTAATTCAGGCCCTAGAGGAACACCACACAGCAGGATTTCCAGGTGTCTTTCAATAATATCCTTTCTGCAAACTTGGAAAAAAAAACAAGCAGGCAATTACTTGGGTAATTTCTGAGTCTAATGCAAAGAAAAGCAGAAGACGTAAGCAGCGTCATTCTGTGCAATCACTATATACTGAATAGTTAAGAATATAAAGTAAACCCATGTCCAGTGACAGCATATTTGTGTTCCATTGCAATCCATATTACTGTAACTTAAGTTGCGAATCTGGGAGGTTCATCGACTCAGCGGGCTTGTTAATTGGATTAACTTGTTTCAGCATACACAGCGCAATTAACCTCAAGTCGCTCTCACACCAACACCGCTCTGAGCTCTACAGTTAATGACTTGGCATTCTGAAGGTACTGCACGCGACTTGCAGGAGCCCTCTGTGCAAGAGCGAAGAGAATGAAGGCTCAGCTCAGTAGTCAGCGAGAATCAGCCCGCAGAGGGAAAGGAAAAGCCTGTGCGGTTGAGATCCTTTTGTTACCATGGGCTGACCTTGGGGCACAGGAAGGCATGGGGGCTGATTGATGTGGAGGTGGAAGGGCAGTAGAACCCAGCGGCACAAGTGCCACTGGGGGAGGCCTGGCCTTCTCTGGCACAGTAGTGACCCGCAGGGCAGGGCAGGCAGCTCTCCATGAAGGACCCCCCTACGAGGAAGACAGCATCGTGAGAATCTGTCGCCCTCAGACTGTTCACTTCTCTATGGTCACATTTATTACTTTTTGCTTTTTTATCCCAACCTAAATTATCGTACCGTATCACTTACTGCATCCTGTTGGAGTCGGCTTTTTGAGGTTGATCACCAAGGAAAGCCAAAAACAATCATATTAAGGAATCAATAACAATGTGTTCTTTGGTCAACGGTGGGGAGGCATAAAATGCAGAGGATTTAAGTTAAGACCGATCCTATGGAGCAATACTCCCGTGGAAACCGTGACGTCAGCAGACGCCTCAGTGTGAAGTCACTGCTCCTTCCAGCCAGATACCATGAGCCCACCTGTGGAGTTCCTGATGGTGCCCACTGGACAAGGCAGGGGGGACGGTGCTCCAGCAGGGCAGTAGTGACCCTCCGGACAGGGGCCATTCCTGGGAAACTTGGCAGAACCCTGAGGCACAGCGGATGTGGCCCCACCTTGACAATAATAACCCGCAAGGCATTCACCTGGATCAGGAGACGGGGAGAGAAACATAGCAAATGTATTATCTTGGCTGAACCTGGAAAGTTTTCTTTCCCAAACCTTCAGACGTTGTTTCTGTGTTTAAGGTTATATAATAAGTGGCTGAAACACAACCCTGCTTGTCTCTTTCCAAGTGCAGTGCAGGTTAAAAAATTAATTTTGCTTCCTTGCTGACAGTGTTAGTGCAGCTTTGGAGAACATTTGTGTCTTTCACCGTGAAATTTGTCATTCTGATCCATGTATAGCCTGGTCCCAGTCATTGATCACAGTCATTGGTCCTTTCAGACAAGTGGGCATGAGAAGTGGGTGTGGACTTGCCATGAGGCTCATGGGCTCCCTCCGTGCTGCAGTAGAGTCCAGCTGGACAGGGCACGCAGGCTGAGGAGGACTGGGCACCAGGAAGGCTGTTCAAGGTCCCCACTGGACAGGGCAGGGGCGTGGCTGTCTTCGGGGGACAGAAGTGTCCTGAGCATGGGGCAGAAACAAGAGGATACTGAATAGTGCAGCTGTAAATAATCTTTTTCACATCACATGTGCCCGTCTCTGGTGCATAGATTAAATCTGGCTATGTTGCTCTTCTCATATGTCAGCGAAACCATCCACATTTCCACATCACTAGAATTACTGCTAAGTCTCTGTACGATTGCTGTGGGTCTAGTTACTTAAAATTGGCATGTACTGTACCTAATGTCCCTACGTGAGTTTCCTGCTGGCCGTCACATGATATTATGCATTGTCTCCACACCGTATAATTAAAAATAGTTTGGTCAGAACCTTGAGATTTGCCTGGGGGTGCTCACATCCCCACTGCAGGCTGAAAATTCCTGGCAAACGCGCAGTTGGAGAAACAGTACCTGCTGGGCAGACTGCAGGCTGCTCTGTGCTGGTGGAATTGCACATGGTGCCAGGAGGGCAGGGTAGGCATGCTGCAGCTCCTGGCATGGGACCGTAGGTGCCAGGCTCACAGGGGAGGGCCGCACCTGTCCCCATGGGGCAGTGAAACCCACTGGCGCACAGGTTACCATGGAGGCCATCAGTAGGGCGGGCACTGACACTGCCCCCAAGACACACATACCTGCAGAAAAACCCCACAACATAGTGCATCTGGAACCTGGAAGTATTAATACATCCTATGATAGACATTTATACCGAGCTGAAATTTTATAACTTTAGCAGAAAATGGAGTTTATAACATAAGTTCGGGAGGGATGACATCAACCAAGTTCAATCAGACTCAGCAATCCTGATGTCACTTCCTCACCTAAACACTATCCATACTACGCACAATCCCCTTCTCTCCCTCACATACATCTTTTGCATCCCACCTCCACCCCAGCTCCTCCTCTGCAGCTGCCCCTTGGTCACTCCTCACTCTGCAGGGGGGTCCCCAGTGTCCTCGTCCTCTGGCCAGGAGGTCAGCCCTCAGCCTCAGCGGGTTCAGCCAAATTTTCACTAAATACTCCATAACCTTTTCAGAACACTTGATCCTCGAGTGTTGTTATTTCTAGTGAAAGTTTTCAAATGTCAAATATTACATTGTCAAAGTCCAGCAAAGCAGATTCAGAACAGTAAATAGTATAGCAGTAGTTATCAAAGTCATGGAATCTCTTTATAAATGTCAGCTCTATTTACAGTATTTTCAGACAACCTTGTTTTTGGAAGAACCACAGGTGTTGTTTTCTGGAATAGGTAAATATCTTTTTCGAATACTGAGAATAACCGCATTAAAGCAGATAAGATTGTGGCTTAAACCGCCTCAAACCAGTAAGTGAAATGAAGCCATTAGAGAAGTTTGTGAAATGGAATGGATAACGCATAGTATATAGAATCAGAATCAGCTTTTTTGAAGATGGATGGAAAAATTGAGAAAGATCAATATTATGTGAAGTGATGTTATGTGAAATAATGAAGGATATAAGTACTGTTTGTTTAATTTAATGATTCATTTATTAATATAAAGTTAACTAAATTTGATAATGTAAATATAAAGGATACTTCCACTCCAAGAAATATCAATACGAAAAAATATATACATATTACATTTCAGATATATTATGTATTTTATATGTATCCTGCTTTTTTGAGGGGTAGGTGATAGGGGGGAATTGTGGGGTTTTTTATATATATATATCTTTGTGTAAGTCTTTTGTTTTATAGGTTTTATTCATATGATAATTATGGAAGATATCTGATGGCAATGAGAAACAAATATAACAGAAAAGTAGTACAAGCAAAGAGCTCAAGAGCAGAACGGTCCATCCGCAGCCGGAGGTCAAGCACTGGGGTGCAAGAGGAACGTAACCAGTTACCCCGAGTCGCAGGGCGGCGCCTCCTCCGGGTGTGTCAGGGCAGGCCGGTCACAGAAGCGCCCCGGGGGGCAGGGCTGGCACTGCTCCGCCCGGCTCAGTCCCAGGAAGCTGGAGTAGGAGCCCGGGGGGCAAGGCAGGGGGTAGCCCGTGCCAGCCGGGCAGAAATGACCCGCAGGACACAGGTTCTTTCTGGCCGAGGCGCCGTCCGCCTTCACCTGGAGACATGCAGTACAACAGACAAGGCCTGAGAAGCAGCGGAGGGGCTGCTGGTGCAGCTTTGTCCAGATCGCCGTCTCTTTCACCGGGCCAGGAGAACAAGAGTTAGGAAGAACAGGAGGAGGGGAACAAGGACAACAGAATCAAACAAAACACACCGGGTCGGAAGGAACAAGAAGCAGAAAGGTTACAGGAAGGTACTGTACAGTGTGAGCTTCGGAGGCAGCACTACTGCATGTGGAATAATAGAATTTCAGCCCACAGTGTGCAGATACTGTACCATATACTCCGTGGAGTTGGGGCTGCTGGATCCCGGGGGGCAGTAGTAACCAGCCTGGCAGGGCCCTGTTGCCTGGAAGAGGCCATGGAAAGCGCAGTACATGCCTGTGCAGAGTCAACGACAGCATAAGCAGGAGGAGAGCACGTCGCAAGACACTCGGAGACAAGAGACCTTCCACGCTGAATCAAACCATCTGGTCTAACCGTGTTTCCCTGAGGCTTTTCACGCAACAGCTGCCGCAGAAGCTTACCCGGAACCCTACTGGCACCTGACCTGCTTTTTAGTGTTTTACCAGTTAGCTCTATAACTATGTTTCTTCTACAGCTTTCGCAAACCCCGGTTGAGTTTTGACAGTTTTCTCCATCTCTGAAGGCTGTATGATTGCACAGGGCTGTGATACAAGGAGGGCCACTCCGGTGCACAATTTTACCAAAGTCCTCTTTTCTGAAGCCCCATGAGCCCCTGCACCTGTTCAGGCTGATAAGCTAACCCATAACTGCTGAGAACGAGCACTAACTGATTAAGTCTTAACATGACAAATTGTGCAGCCTGAGGTTTAAAGATTTCACCTGCCGGGCAGAGCTGGCAATCCAACACAGAGGTGGCTCCACTCTGAGGTCCGATGGTGCCCCGGGGGCAGGGGTATTCAGTGCCCACTCCTGTCCCAGGGGGGCAGTAATACCCTCGAGGACAGATGGCTGGCTGCACCACCCCACCTTCTGCACAACAAGGAAATACACAAGACTGAGAGTCATTGTCAGCACCGCCTTCTCCTGTAGCTGCATGTTGCACAAACTAACTAATGGCACAGTAAATGTCAGTTCCTGGTATCAGTAATGTGATCACAAATGAAAGCGTTATGATTTGAACGAATAATATGCATGTACTGCCAACATCTATATCACCCTGCAATGTATAATTGGCAACCCACTAAAGCTCAGCAGGTATGACC